GAATAGCAAGTCGTGCAAATTGACGGATTACTTTGCATAGATCATACTAGGACGCCAATAAACCGGCAAAATCTAATCAAAATTGATCTAAAGGGCGTATGGGAATTACAGTAGCCTATCAAGGGAGCCACCGGCCTCACCAGGGGGGAGGATTTAGTTGTTGCGTAAAATACACTGCCCCATAGGCTGTCACAGGGAAAGAGCTGCGTGGCGATGCGTCCGTGTGTCCTCCTCAGTTGAAGCGTACGGTCTTGCGCCGCGTAACCCCCCCCAACTTGTACGGCCTTTCTATTATGCACTCGGCGGTCCACCCCCCCCGCCCCACGCCCCCCGTTTTGCTCGCCAGGTGTATGGGATTGGGGGAGCACACCACTCCTTCTTTGGGAACACATTGTCACTGCAGCGCACGCAGGCGCCGCCATCCTGTTCACTGGTGAGATCTGCCGTGTGTGTGCTGTCGCCACTCTCACCCTCACACACACACACACACACACACACACACACACACACAGACACACACATACACACACACTCTCTCTTTCTCTCTCTCTTTCTCTCTCTCTCTCTCTCTCTCTCTCTCTCTCTCTCTCTCACTCACTTACTCACACTCACACTCACACTCACACTCACATGCACATGCACACACACATGCACACACACACACCAGGGGTGCTGTATTTGAAGCTGCGACTGGACTCGCGCACGAGTGCAAAGAGGGAGGAGCAGCAAGCGCTGTTGCGGGACCCTCGAACCGCAGACACAACCGACAACCCCACGTTTCTTGCTTCCTTTGGCACCATGGCGTCCACAGCAGCAGCATCTTCGTGAGTGAGCGAGCGAGCTGCTGAGCTGTGGCACAAGAGAAGCGAAGCATTGGCGCAATGAAGCATTGGCGCACTGTGTGTGTGTGTGTGTGTTTGTGCGTGGCTGACTCAAACGCGTTTCAAGCCTGCGAAGATCTTCAATCCGGTGGCGCGAATGTTTGTTTGGCTGACGATTATCCTTTAATTTTCGCAGATTTTCTGCTCTCCCCTCCAAATCTACCACGGCTGATTCCCGTAAATCATAAACGAAAGTAACACCCCGTCCTTTTGTTTGTGGGAAAAGCCGTGCCGCAAACCAAAACAAAACAACAACACCACACAACATGCGAGCCATTCTCACACTGTTCGTTCCTGTCTCCTCTCAGCATCTCCCACCAAGCAAACAACTCCCACCATGATGAAGACGATGCTTGTTGTGGCCATGATGGCCGCTGTGTGCGTGCTGTCGGCCTCCGCTGCGCCCGTGACCATGCACCTCCACAAGGACCCTGTCACCATGCACCTGCACAACGGTAGATTGCTGCAATGCCGTTGTTGTTGCTGTTGGTCGTTGTTGTCCTTGTTTCTGGCTGTTGTTTTCTGCTTCTCCTCTTCTTCTTGTTCTGCTTCTCCTCTTCTTCTTGTTCTGCTTCTCTTGTTCTTCTTGTTCTTCTTCTTGTTCTTCTTCTTCTTGTTCTTCTTGTTGTTGCTTCTGTGTTGTCTGACATGCAAGATCGCTTCTTGTCTTCTGAGCTGTGCGTCCAGTGTGAGCTCACGCGCATAGCTTTGCCTCTCCTCCACCCTTCTCTAACCCTTTCCAATGGCGCCGTTCGAATCTCAAAACTACAGAGACTGCCCCTCCGCAGCCCAACTGCCCTGGGTGGACCTTGTACAAGCAGTGCGACTCTCGCTGGGGCGGGTGCGTTCAAGACCTCCGCACCAGTGTTTCAAATGTAGTTTGGCCGGCCTGTGGAACCGATTGCTCTGGCATCGTTTCATGCATTGCTGGCTCATCCCTTTGAGCGCGCCTACTTGTGCGCTATAATCCCGCTTCCCTTCTTGCGTGTGTTCGACCATCCATTTTGACAGTGACCGCCTTGGCACCTCTGGCAACACCATCTGCTCTGCCGGCTGCGCCATGTCCTCTGTGGCCATGCTCCTGCACACCCGTGGTGTCAGCGTCGATCCTGGTTGGTTGGTGCGTGTGGGTCTACGTGTGTGTGTGTGTCTGTGTCTGTGTCTGTGTCTGTGTGTGTCTGTGTGTGTGTGTGTCCTGCAATTGCGGTGTTCGAGTTTGTGTGTGAACGACAACGTGCAAATTGACCTTCTCAATCGCCCCTACCCCTCCATCTCTCTTTCGTTCCCATTCAAGGTTCACTGAACAACTGGCTCATCCACAACGGCGGTTATGCCAGCGGTGATCTCATGTGAGTTGGCATCTGGCATTGATTTTGACACAACCACCAATGCGTCTGCGTGCGCGTGCGGTGATTACAAACGCACACACACATGCACACACACATGCACACACATACACCACACTTGCCTCACTCCTGTGTCGGCGTTTGTATCTTGTATCTCAGCGTGTGGAGTGCTGTGGACAAGTTTGGCAAGACGAGCTACCAGGGCATTGAGAACCCCTCCATCAACGCCGTCATCAGCGGCCTGCAGTCGGTGCGTGTTTTTGCTTCGAGCTTCATCAGTGGGAAGGTGAAACATTGTGAAACATGCCGCCGTGTTGTAGCTTGGCACAACAACGACTGCAGGAGACACTCACGTTTGCTTTGATAAACTTGCTGTGTCCGTCATTCATCCTGGGTTGCTGATTTGTGACAGTGCCACGGCATCATCGCCAACGTCCGCGGCGGCACCCACTGGGTCCTCCTCACGGGTACGTGCGTGTGTGTGTGTGTGTGTGTGTGTGTGTGTGTGTGTGTGTGTGTGTCTGTCTGTCTGTCTGTCTGTCTGTCTGTCTGTGTCGGTGTCGGTGTCTATGTCTGTATGCTTGCATTCACAACACCATCTCCAGTACACGCACCCCTCTCCTTTTCCTCCTCCCCCTCCTCTCCACCTCGTTTCTCACCACAATCGCCACCAATGCACGCATCTGCAGGCCACGCTGGCGGCAGCACGTTCAAGGTGAACGACCCCGGCTTCTCCACGACCGAGTACAACTTCTCCGACATGCTCCGTTTCGCTGTCTACCACTGAGCGCGCATCGTGCCATTGCAGTCGGCGATGCCCCTTGAGTGCATTGTCATTGCCCTTGCCCCTATGCGTGTTCTTTCCCTTTGCGCGTTCTTTTCCTTTTCGCGTTGTGTTGTCTTCCTCCCTTCTTCGTCTCTCTCTCTCTCCCTGTTCCTCCTTCCTCCTTCGTCTCACTCTGCAAATACAACCACCCGAAGCCAACACAAGCAAGGTGTCTGTGCCGGTGTCGCCCAAAGCCAGCATCATGCCACCCCACACCAAACCAAACCAAACCGCACAATGCGTGAAAGATGAAAACTTTGCACGTGGGAAAATCGGCAAATCAAAACAAACACTCCTGCGCTGCGTACTGTTCTCTTCTCCAAGAAGCCAAGAACTGATTCATTCACAGATTCATTCATTCATTCATCCACTGGCCTTCACATTCACCATTGTCACCGCTCCCTCTTTCTTCCCCTTGAAGCTCAACACCCAACAAGATGAAGGCTGTCAGCATTGTGCTCATCGCGGTTGCTGTGATGGCTGCGACATGCCTGCTGTCCACTGCTGCCGCTCCCGTCACCATGCACCTGCACAAGCAGGCCGTTCCCATGCCCATGCATCTCCACAACAGCAACGGTGAGATTGCGCGTGGTAATCCCGTTGCAGTTGGTTTTCACAGTGCCTTCATTCCTTCATTCGCCCGTTCTTTACCTTCTCTTATGCTTGTCTGATGTGGAAGGACTACCCTCTACTTCATCGCCCCAACTCACCCCTTAATTCACGGCTGCACCCACCGCTTTGTTAACGCACGCAGCCACGATCGGCCCGCAGCCCAACTGCCCTGGGTGGACCATGTTCAAGCAGTGTGATTCCCGCTGGGGCGGGTACGTGCCAGCACGAGTGAAGGAGTGAAGCGTTTTGCTCACACCCTGGAATGAACGAAGATGGAGTGTTTGTCGACTGTCACGATTCATACAGCTTTGTCCTGCAACTTTTAAGCGTTGCCTCGCACAACACTCGGCTTCTCATTCTGGTTGCGTTCTGTTGACAGCGATCGCCTTGGCACGTCTCCAAGTGACACAATCTGCACTGCTGGTTGCGCCATGTCCTCCGTCGCCATGCTGCTACACACGCGAGGCCTCGGCCTGGATCCTGGTGCGCGTTTTGAACCGTTTGGTCTCAACGTGTCCTCTTTGTTTGCCCAGTACTCTGCGTCAGCGTCCTGGCTGCCCTTCACTTCCTCTTCTTGTCCTTCTGTGGCAAAGCACCAGAACAATGAGCGCCTGCCTCTCCATCGTTTGCTCATCAACAGCCAAATTCGCGCGCGTCTGTGTGCAGGTTCGCTGAACAACTGGCTTATCAACAACGGCGGCTACGAAAGCGGTGACCTCATGTGAGCCAAAATGCAATTCTGCTTCTGCACCTTCGTCCTTGCTGTGATCTGGATGTCTTCGTCTTCCCTAGCTCCACAGCGCATCACTGCCTTGAAATTTGTTTCTTCCACCATTCACATTGTGTCTTGCACTCAGCCTGTGGGGCTCCGTGGACAAGCTTGGCAAGACGAGCTTCCAAGGCCTGGAAAAGCCCGCTCTGAGCGACGTCATCAGCGGCATTCAGGCGGTGAGGTTTAAGGTCCCATGCAGTTTTGTCTTTCTTGTGTATGTGTGTGTTGTGTGTGTGTGTGTGTGTGTGTGTGTGTGTGTACAAGCGTCAGCCAAACTAGTTATCCTGCGCCTTGCTCTGGTGAGACGCCAAGCACAAGCGAACTTTCTTCCATTGCATATTCGAGCTGCTGTGAGAGATGTGACCTTATGACTTCGATTAACCTGCTATTCCTCAGTGCCATGGCATCATCGCTAACGTCCGCGGAGGATCGCACTGGGTCCTTCTCACAGGTGCGTATAGAGCATGCAAGCATTCGTGCATGCAAGCCTAGCCAACAACAGTTGCGTGCTTGCTTCACGTCTCATCAAGCCGTCATTGTCGACAGCCATGTTGGGCTGTCAACCTCAACAGTCATGCACACTCACACTCTGGTACACCCTAATCGTTGTTCTCACACGCACCTATACACTCAATCTACATGGGTTGTGGTTCGGCTTCACCGCTTGAAATGCAGGCTTTGCCGGTGGAAGCACGTTCAACGTCAACGATCCATACTACTCCACCTCCCAGTACACCTATGCGGACATGCTTCGCTTGGCCGTGTACCACTGAGACTGCAAACGTGCGCAGCGTCAGTCCTGTGGTGCTGTGATGCACCAACTCGTCGTTTTCCCTCACTTGCGCTTTGCCTGTTTCGCGGCGCAGACCCAGCTTCTTGTGGTGAGTGTTGTTGCTGTCCTTACACTCAGCCTTCTTGTTAAGATGTGCTTACCTTCACACCTGGTCAAAGGACCAAAGAGCATTGTTCTGTTCTTTCCCTCCAGTTTCTCTTCCTTGGAGAGTGGCACGACTGTTCTGTTTCTTCTTCTTCTTTCTCGATCCAGATCCAATACATACATACAACAACACACCAAGAAGCCACAGCGCAAAGCGAAAAACACACTCAAACGCATCGTCACGACCTTCAATCCTCTGCCGTGGATAGTTCCCGAATGATACCAACAAGTAGCGCTCCTCCAAAAACATTGCCGCTGCCGATACTTGTCTGGAATCATACATAGAAACCAAACAAGGCACAACCCCCAAGACAGACAACACACGACTTTCCGCTCCTGGCAAAGACAAAGACGAAGAAGACGATGCTGCTGTTGTGGCCGTCATGGCCTGCGCCCTGTCGGCTTCGGCCGCCCCCATCACCATGCACCTGCATCAGGAGCCGGTCACCATGCACCTGCACAACGGTCAGTGTTGCAAGTAGTTTTGCTGAATGGTGGTGGTGGTGTTGTTTCTTTGTTGTTGTTGTTGGTGGTCAGTGGTCAGTGCAATGTGCATCTTCACTCCCCGTGCTTGTGGTTTGTGGTTCACCTTGAATCCGCATGCACTCGTCGCTCCATTCACTCACATCCATATCCATTCAAACCACTTGCAGAGACTGCTCCTCCTGCCCCCAACTGCCCAGGCTGGTCCATGTTCAAGCAGTGCGACTCCCGCTGGGGCAGGTGTGTGTGTGTTGATGGGGAGGGGGGATTGTGTGTGCGTGTGTGTGTGTGTGTGTGTGTGTGTGTGTGTGTGTGTGTGTGTGTGTGTGTGCGCGTGT